CAAGCGGAAGCTGAGTGCTGGCATTGCACTCATCGGTGGTCCCCCTGTGATCTTCCTGGATGAGCCCTCCACAGGCATGGACCCTGTGGCGCGGCGTTTGCTCTGGGATGCGGTGACACGGACGCGGGAGTGTGGCAAATCGATCATCTTCACCTCCCACAGGTGACTTGTCCTGGCGGGGTTTAGCATGAGAGATTAAAAGGTGGTCAGGAGTGTGGTGTGGTCCCAGGGATAGTACCCATCCAGAGCATGGTAGGTGAGCAGTGGCTGCAGTAGGATAGCTGGCTTTACACAGATCTCCGTCTTCGAAAAGCCCAGAGAGAAGGGAATCCACCTCCAGCCTCTTTCAAGTATCTTAACAGAGTCACAGGCTGGTTTGGGTTGGAAGGCACCATAAAGCTCATGCAGTTCCAGCCCCGTGCCACAGGAAGGGACACCTTCCACTAAACCAGGTTGCTCCTAGCCCTGTACAGCCTGGCCTTGAACGCTGACAGGGATGGTGCAGCCATCTTCCTCTGCTCTGTCTCAGTGCTTCTGTCTCACTGAACAAGTCCTCTTCTGTCCTGCAGCATGGAAGAGTGTGAGGCTCTCTGCACACGGCTGGCCATCATGGTGAACGGGCAGTTCAAGTGCCTGGGCAGCCCCCAGCACCTGAAAAGCAAGTTTGGCAGTGGCTACACTTTGCTGGCTAAAACACGGAGTGAGGAGGAGGGCGAGCTGCTGGCCTTCAAGGCCTTTGTGGAGAAGACTTTCTCAGGTACAATGAGCTGCTGGAGCAGTTGCACTCCAAGGAAGGGCAGGATGCTCATCATGAGCTTCAGCATTTTCCTAACTCAGAGCCTCTCCTGGCTCATCTCTCCCAGGCAGTGTCCTGAAACATGAGCACCAGGGCATGGTACATTACCACTTGACCAACAAGAACCTCAGCTGGGCACAGGTAAGGGGATGCTACAGTCCATCCCACCCTTTGCAGGAGGCTGGAGGAGCAGCCCAAGTTTCTGCCCCTTTGCATGCTCTTCATGCTTTGCTTTCACACTCCCTTTTCTTCCAGAGCCTCTCCCTGTCTAAAATCCAGGTGATTTACGCAGACAAGTTAAAAAGTGTATTTTATCCCTCTGTTTTTTATTGGTGTGTGAGCTCACAGGATGCACAATGGCTGCTGAGCTGGGACCACTCCGTCCCACCCCTCCCAAACTGACTGCCCTTGACTGTAGCCCTCCAGAAGGAAAGCAGGGTCTCCCTGAAGCAAAAGCTGATTTTGCCTTTGTTTGTACATAGAATCCCAGGCTGGTTTGGGTGGGAAGGGACCTTCACACTCATCCAGTCCCAACCCCCTGCCACAGGCACAGACACCTTCCACTAGAGCAGGTTGCTCCAAGCCCCGTCCAACCTGGCCTTGAACACTGCCAGGGATGGGGCAGCCACAGCTTCTCTGGGCACCCTGTGCCAGCGCCTCAGCACCCTCACAGGGAAGAACTTCTGCCTAAGAGCTCGTCTCAGTCTCCCCTCTGTCAGGTTAAAGCCATTCCCCCTTGTCCTGTCCCTACAGGCCCCTGTCCAAAGCCCCTCTCCAGGTTTCTTGTAGCCCCTTTAGGCACTGGGAGGTGCTCCTTAAGGAGACTTCTCTTCTCCACGCTGAACACCCCCAGCTGTCTCAACCCCAACTCTCATATATACGTATATATGTATGTATATATACACCATATATTTTTTAATGGGGTCAGGTACTCTGCTAAACAACTCATCTCCTGGCTTCCCACTGCCCTCCTGCCAGGAAAGGTGTCACTTTGCCCAGGTTTCCTTGGAGAAAAAAGCTTCCTCTGCTTTCCTAGTTGCAGCCAGCAGGGTTGTCCTGCAGCCAAGGTACCTGCAGTAACAGCTGTGCTGTCCCTTGCAGGTATTCGGGGCCTTGGAGAAAGCCAAAGAAAAGTATCACTTGGAAGACTATTCTGTGAGCCAGATATCCCTGGAGCAAGTCTTTATGAGCTTCACTCGCTTCCAGCACTACACAGAGGACAGAGGGAAATGAGCAGAAGCCCCCACTGTTGCCCTTCATCATGGACTGGCCCTGCTGCCTATACATAGTATATATAGAGACAGTAATTTATATATCAGCGTGTCTTAAATACTGTATAAATGTATGAAACCTTTCACCTGGGGCGGGAGGATGGGGCCGTCCCTTCTGCCGTGGGGAACATGTGTGGTGTGTGTGCCACGCATGCCACTGCAGGTCTGTGTGTGCGTGTGCATGTGACACTTCCACTCTCCAGTGTTCCTTCCCTTCTATACAGCAAAAACAAAGAGCCCAACAAGCAGGGGGAAGTCTGGATGGGTGGAGATGGGTGTTGGGGATTGGGTTGGCAGAGGAGGAGCGGGATGTGTTCCCCAGGGCGCCTTTGCCCTGCCCAATGCTCACACCCATCAGGGCGCTGCTTCGTGGTCTTGGCCCGCATGTTGACGTGTATCGTTAGGTGGTTTGCTTGTGGTTTAACAGAGGCTGTCAAATAGCTTAGATCCAGGTTGCTGGGTTCATTAGGATGCACTGTGGTTGCCCTTAGAAGCACTTTGTGTCTGGCTGGCGTGAAGAAGGCAAGCCTCCTATCTGTCCATCTGTCCCCACAGAGGAGGCTCCGTTTTCTTTAACCTCTTAGGAAATGCCATCCCCTCCTGCCTGCTTGCCCAGGGGTGGAAGCAAGCGTGTCCTGAGGAGCTGGCACCGTCCCAAATGGTGCAGGGTGAACTGGCTGTGTTCAGGGAGCCATGGGACACGTCCATGGAGCGTTGCCCAGAGCTCGGCTCCTTGGTACAGCACGTGATGGGTCTGGCTGCCAGTGCTCAGGCTGAAGGCAGTTCTGGGTGAGAGGTGTTGCAGGGCTCCTAGGAATGCTGTTGGGCTCTCATTATTGTATCCGTGGAAGGGTTCAACCAGCAGCACTGTTCTGTGCAGCTGCAGGACTGGCATTGAAGGCCAGCGATGCTCTCCCTGTGCCCATGTCCGTCCTGCTGTGCTCTCCCATTGCACCTCACACAGCTCCCATGTCCCCATCCTATGTCACCCCTCCCCATCTGCATTCCCTGTGCACCACAGCAGGCTGCTCCAGCAGCAGACAGGGAGTGAAGGCACCGTCCTGCCCTAGCCTGGCTGTGGGGATGCTGCTGGACACAGTGCATAAGGCACCAGCACTGCCCAGCCCTGCCTGCACCAGATTGGAGGCAGCAACTGTGAACTGGGATTTCTTTTTGGCATTTCCCAGTGGTTTGGGTGCTTTTTGTTTGGTTTGTTTTAAATCTGTATTGGTTCTTGTCTGTCTTTAACTAGTCCCTGAGTCACCCAGGGGCAGTCCCTTCATGGCCAGCTGCTCCGCAGTCAATGCAGAGCTATTTGCACTATAGTAATACACACACTTGCACATAACTAAAGGAATTAATATTTATGGAGAGGGGTGCTGATTCCCTTCCAGTGATTAATTGCATTGTCAGGGGTTGGGTGATATTTTTGGGTTGGGTTTTTGTTTTGTTCCTGTGACTGACTCATTCCTTCCTGTTTTTTTCCCCTTTGCCTAATGTCATTCAAAATGATGGTGCATCATGTTACTAAGAATTTCCCTGGATCTTAACTGTGTGTGGTTTTATTAGTAAGCAGCCAGGAGGTGAATGGCATCCCTGGAATACTTCAGAGCCCATTGGAGTTGCTGGCCTGGAGGGTTTGCTCCCTGGGAGCATCCCTGCAGGCAGTGGAGCCAGGGATGCGGGGAAAACCCCCATGACTGGTATACAAGGAAAGGGAGGAGGGATGCTTCCTGGGGGAGGGTGCCTGGTGTCACCAGGGAGATGCTAGGACTCCCAGTAGCTTATTTTTTGGGAGAGGAGATGTGGCAGGCTGCCTCAATGCCTCGAGGACTTCACCTGGGGTGGGGAGCAGAGGGAAAAGAGGGACTGCATGAGGGTGAGATGCCAAATTGTCACAGGCTGGCAGCACCCTGACCACAGGGTGGCAACAGGCACCACAGCCAAGACCTCCCCCAACGACATTCCGTTGGGATACTGGTGCCCCCCTGCAAGGTTTAGTCCTGTGACAGGTGACAGCCCCACAGTGCCCATGAATGCCATGGCAGAGCCAGGGGAGAGGAGACAGTGACAAGGGTAGCATCCACTGGTTCCAGGCTACCAGTCCTGACCTAAACGAAGAGAGTCTTAACAAAGAAGTGTTCCTCTGTCACACAGTGCTGTAACAACCCTAAGAGCTGCTGCTGTGCATGGTACTGCTTACCCCACTTCAGTTCCAGCTGCAGCACAGGGCCCAGGCAGCTGCTGCTCCCCTCTTGGCTGCAGCGTGGTCATTATTCCCATCACAGGGATAATAAAAGGTTTTATTTCTTCCAGTGGGTGTTTCCTGGCCTCCTTTGGAGTCCACAAGCAGCTCCAGTCCTGGTGGGCTCTATCTGTGCTGGCCTCCTGCTTGCTGCCTTCTGCAGGGGGACAGGGGGATGTCCTCCAAAACCTCACTGGGCACAGCTCATCCAGCCTTGAAAAGCCCATGGGCTGAGGGAGTTTTGTGTGCCAGGCACTGCTGGGAGCAGAAGTAGGGCTCCCCATCACTTCCAGCACAGGCAGACACAGCCCTCTCACTGTGGGAATGGAGAAGAGCTTGAGCTCAGAGCACAAGATGGCTTTTGTTACAGAATTCCAGAGAGATTTGGGTTGGAAGGGACCTTAAAGCTCCTCCAGTTCCAACCCCCTGCCATGGGCAGGGGCACCTTCCACTAGACCAGGTTGCTCCAAGCCTTGTCCAACCTGGCCTTGAACGCTGCCAGGGATGGGGCAGCCACAGCTTCTCTGGGCACCCTGTGCCAGTGCATCAGCACCCTCACAGGGAAGAACTTCTGCCTAAGAGCTCATCCTTATATGTAAAGAACATCTGTACTTATATGTTAAGAACTTCTTTCTTATATTGTATGTGCTTCACCATCTCCTCCCCATCCCACAAGCACTTCTCCATGGGCAGTTTCAGTGCTTTATTGTCTGGCAGTCCTGCTACAGCACCCCACTGTCCTCCCCATGGCTCCAGCCACAGGGGGGGATCTGCTCCCTCATCCCCAGCGTGGCACCATAGTGTCCCTGGGAGCTGGAGGCTGCAGGAGCTGCAACAGTCTGAGAACTGGCACTTGAGGCATCCTGGCCGGGGCCGCATGCTGCTGCACCGCAGCGGGCGCAGGGATGGGGCATGGCTCTGGTCTGGTCCTGCCGGTCATTTGATTTCGGTCATCCTTTAAAAACGTGGTTCTAAAATGGCACCAGTTCTGGGCTCCAAGCTGATGCTCCCTCAGGACACCACCAAACCTTCCTTCCCTTTTAGGAGCAGCTTTCTATCTTGGCCAGAAATTGCTGTGCCCACCACTCCTCCAGGTCAATGGGAACAAAGTCTGAAAGAGAAGAGGGAGAAGGGGGAGCAGAGCAGCTGGAGCAGGGAACAGGGCTTCACAGGCTCCCCCCAAGCCATCCCATTTGCCACTGAACAAAAGAAATGGCACCCCAGTATCTCCCCCACCCCTGTGCCCTGTCCCCAAAGGCCAAGCTGGGTTCATGGGGACATCTCAGCCACTGCAGGAGCCCTCGGGCTGCATTCACAGTCCTTGCTCCTGGATCATGTTCCTATCCCCACAACTGTCCTGCTCAGCATTGGGGGAGGCAGATCCCCATGGTGGGACCTGGGGGCTTCTCTCCAGCATGATGTTGAACCCACCTCTGTGGCTGGAGAAGGCATGATTTCCAGAAGTCATCAACCAGGCATCCTGCTTGCTTGAACACCCTCACCATAGCGCTGGGGGCAGCTCTGCCCACCACCACTCCCAAAACCAGGCTCAGCAGCACAGACCCAACCCAGCCCTTCTGGGGATCCTCCTCCCACCACAGCCCTGCTCAGGTACCCAGCTGAGCCCACCCCAGCTCATTGCACCCCTGATGCACCTCCCCTCTGAGTGCTGTAGCTGCTTCCCACTTACTTTTGAGTCCAGGGTTGGGGTTTTTCTCTACGTACTGCACGGGGCCACAGGTGCTCTCCCCACTCCGGCTGCTGTCCAGCTGCTGCTCTACCTGCTGCCAGGCTGGATGCAGGAACAGCCAGCAGAGGGTTGGGGATGGGCATTGCCCAGGAGGAGGAGTGGGAAGTGGTCAGAGGGGTGCAGGTACCCAGGCTGGGGACCCCCTCCCTGCCTCAGAGGTCCCCAGCAGCATGAGGCTGCTCAGGAGGGACCCCACATGCTTCGGCCCCCTTGGGATGTGACAGTGAGCAGGTCCAGCCCCCGGGGACCCTCTGCCCTCACCTTCATAGACAAAGCGGACATTCTCCTCATGGGCCAGAGTGTAGCACTCTTCAGGGGCCAAGACGTGCTGCGGCAGCACCTGCGGCCTCTTGCCATTCACTCTGTTGAAGACGAGTTTCTGGGCTGGGCTGTGGAAGGGAACAAGGTGGAGATGAGGGGGGCACCCACCACGGCCTGGAGGAAGGACAGGGGCTGCCCCACTCAGTCTTGTCCCCAAGGGAAGGGACCGAGAAGGAGCCAGGCCCAAGGGAGAGGAGGTTCCTACATGGGAAGGGGTGTGAGGGGGATCCCCATCAAGAGCACAGGCTGCCCATCTCCCACCCACCCTCCAGCCTTAGCAAAAAATGTGGTCCCCAAAATAAGGAATATGGCACCAAAAATGCTGAAATACCAGGAAAATGGAAGTGAAATCCAGGCACCAGGCAGGGGATGCACATTGGTGTCATCCTCACAGACCATGCACCCAGGCTGGCTGTAGCAGCCCCAGAACCCAGCATGTTCCCAAGGTGCCCCGGGACTGGGATGAAGCCCTTTGCCAGCTGGGAGCAGGTCAGGCTTCCCTGGAGCTGGGCACCTGAAACAGCCCCAGCCTGGAAACAGCAAACCCAGGCAGAAGGAAAGGAAAAGCTCAGGATGAGACTATGGGCACGCTGGATGCAGAACTCGAGTGTTTTGGCTTTTCTGCCCAGCTTCAGGGCAGGACACGTCTGCAACAGCTGTGTTTCTCATGGGACAAAGTCTAAGGGGCCCAGAGAGTGCAGGCACGTTATGATTTGCAGGGCAGGTGAGACCCAGAACAGGCAGACCCTGCCAGGTCTGCAGGAGGGCCGGGGACAGGACACCCCCCAGACCCTGGCTGGGGGCCACCGGGCAGCAGCAGGAGCCTGCACACCCAACTAACATAAGGGTGTAAGGCTGGAGCCATGCTGGTTAGGAGAAGGTCCAGGGTGGAGGGAGGCAGCCTGGACAGGGAGGGGACAGCCTGGACAGGGGGGCTTTTCTTTTTCCATTCCTTGAGGCTAGGGGAACCAGGCAGAGCCATGCAGGCCCCAGAGCCCTGCCCGATGGAACAGCACTCTGGAAAAAAGCTCCTTAAGGAAAGGAGCCTTCGCCCCTCCGTCCGTTTCAGACCCTCCCACCAGGTATTCCTGCTAAAGGCTGCGAGCCTCAACCAAAAAGCTATTCCCCTCCCTCAGGGCCAGGAAACACCTTACCCTGGGCCACCAAGGGGACATGGGACAACCCACAAACGCTGCCCAGGGCCACCACGGCGACATGTGACAACTCACGAACGCTGCCCAGGGCCACCACTGCCCCCATGGTCCCCGTGGCCACCACTTCAGCCCCGGGTACGCGGCAGTCCCACACCGGGCCCGGCGGTGCCGTCCCCAGCAACCGGGCATTGGGACCCTCCGTCCCAGCCCCATCCCTGCGCGCACCGGCTCCGGTGTCCCCCCCGACCCATCGCACACCACGAGCGCGCCGTGCCCGCGATCTCGGCAGCGCTGCCCCCGACGCCCCGTTCCGTCGTGCGGGCACCGGCCGGCGCCCCCCCCCCCACCCCCACGGTGCGGGAGGCCCGGTAACCTTTCCCCAAGGTCACGGCGGCTGCGGCGGGGCTCACCTGGCGGGGGGCCAGGCCCCGGGCTGCAGCCGGCCCCGCAGCTCGGCCCCTTTGCTGCTCTCCACCGCCTGCTGCGTCGGACCTGCGGGCGGCGGCGGGACTCAGAGCGGCGCCGGGGCGGCGGGGCGCGGACCGGGACGGATCCCGCGTACACGCCGCTGCCCGCCCCGGTGCCGTCCGCTGCCCGCCCCGGTGCCGTCCGCTGCCCGCGGTACCTGTGCGGCGCTGCGTGGCCAGCTTGCTGGGGCCGCGCGTCAGCGTGTACATCCTGCGGGCCCGCACGGCCCCGCACCGGCCCCGCCTGAGCGCCGCGTGCCCCCCGCCGGGCCTTTAACGGGCCGGGCCCGGGCGGCCGCGACACGCCCCCGCCCTTAAAGGGCCCGCGCGGGACGGGAAGGGGAGGGGAAGGGGGCGGGAAGTGGGAGGGACCCGGGGGGAGGAGCTGGAGCGAGGACACGGGAGCAGGCACATGGGGGGGCAGAGCAGGGACACAGAGGGAGCGTACGGGGGGGGGGGGGACGACGACGACACGGGGGGGTCACACAGCGTGCACAAGCGAGAATTGTGTAGGGACATAGGGGACACACGTGGGAGGTGTGTGGGGGCACGGGGGACGCATGGGTGGGGGGACAGACACATGGGGGCACAGGTGGGAGGTGTGGGGGACATTGGGGATACATGGGAGATACACGGGGGGCATACGTGGGTGGCACACATAGGAGGTGTGGGGGGACACAGGGACACATGAGGAACTCATGGGGGCATATGTGAGAGGTGTGGGGACACACATGGGGGGCACACGTGGAGTTGGGGGGGGACATGGGGGACATATGGGGGTCATATGTGGGATGCGTTATGGGAGACACATGGGGGCCACACGTGGAATGTAGAAACACAGGGGACACCGGGGGCACATGGGAGGTGGGGGGGTACATGGGGGGCACATGGGGGGCACATAAGGGACATAGATGTGATGTGGGGTCACACAGAGGACGTGTGCAGGACACACAGAGGGAACACGCAGGAGGTGGGGACACGTGTGACAGGACAGGCACACATGGGACATGGGGACACACAGGAGACATGCATGGGACACACAGAGGGGACACGTGGGGGACATGCACAGGACACACAGGGTTCAAGTAGGAGAGGGGACACAGGCAACGCGTGGGACACAAGATGGCACACGCAGGGGGCACAGGAGTGACAGGGAACACAGGGAGCACGTGCATGGGGACACCTGGGAGACAGAGCCATGGGACACAAAGGGACACACATAGGAGTCACTTCTGGGACACACAGGAGCCAGGCTGGGGACAGTGAGGGGGTGTAGAGGCAGGGGCTGAGGTGCCCCCACGCTGGGGACAGCACTGTGACCATCTGCGGAGCCCGCAGGGGACACTGGGCTGGGCAGCCATGTCCTGGCCACTGTGGTGACCTTTGGAGCGGGGAAGGCACCTCAAGGTGTCCCCACATGACAGGAGGTGCAGCCCCAGGATGTGACCCCCTGGCCACCCCGAGCATCACCCCTCAGAGTTGTGGGGGGACATGGGTGGCATCCCAGGTTTTGGGGTCAGGATGGGTGACAAACTCACTGGCATGCTCTGGCTTTGCTCCAGTGTCAGTGAAGCCATCCCACAAGGTTGAGCTTGGCCTTTTGGCCCTGCCAGGGTGGGAGGGTGCTCGGCCCCCCAAAAGAGCATTCAGCGGGGTGCTGGGCACCCATGGGTGTACCCACAGCTATCGCCCCCCCGCTTGACTTCCTCAAACGCACTATCACCCGGGGGGGAGGGAGCTGTGCTTCAATTTCCCCACCTGCACCCTGATCGGGAGGGTTTTGAGGCACCCATGGTGTGCACCCGCGAGCCCTGAACACAGCTCCTCGGGCTGCGGCTGCTTCCTGCCCAGCGTCCACCAGTTGTGCAGGTCCTGGCAGGGGGGGCTCCTCTGTTCCCACGCACCCCCACTTCTCTGGGGTGCCCACGCAAAGCCGGTCCTCGTTAAGCGGGGTGGGAATAGAGTGGAAGCCCATGACGGAGCCACAGCAACAGCCTCAGCCCACCGTCACCCCACACCACTCCCTTGAGAGAAGGTTAAGTACCATTGGGGTAGAGCTGCCGGCAGCAGCGCCGCTGGTGTAGTGGTATCATGCAAGATTCCCATTCTTGCGACCCGGGTTCGATTCCCGGGCGGCGCAGAATTTTTTCCGGCCCTTTTAATTTTTTTTTTTTCACTAATTATGATGTATTTCTCACCCGCCGGTAGGGGCGGTCCCGCGGGGGCTCCTGGGAGCTGTAGTCCCAGCGCCTTATCCAGCGCCCGTGGCCATGCAAGCGCCGGCGGCTGCGGAGCGCAACAAGGGCCCGATCCTGGCGGTGCTGCGGCAGTACGCGGGGTGCGGCCCCTGCGAGGTGCGGGTGCTGGAGGTCGGGGCGGGCGCGGGGCTCCACGCAGCGCACTTCGCCCAGGCGCTGCCCCACACCCGCTGGCAGCCCTCGGACATCGACCCGCGGGCGCTGCGCAGGTGGGCGGGGGTATGGCGGGCTGGGGAGGGCCATGGGTGGCTCTGGGGAGACGGTAGGGGCTGTGGGGGGTCATGGGGGGCACATCCTGCGTCCCTTTACCCGACCCTCCCGCCCGTGGCCCCACTGCCGGGCTCTCCCCCTCCCCGCGCTTTTTATTCCCGGAAAGCGCCGATATCCAAGCCTCGGATGACCCGGGCTCCACAGCTAAATGCTTATTTTATTCCAGAAAAGACTCAATACAGAACCCTCAGCCAGCCCCGGTTCCCCTGCTTAATTTTTTTCACAGGAAAACCACAATATTCAACTCTTGGACAGCCCCAGCTCCCCTGCTTGACGCAGGAAAACCACCACACTCAACTCATGGTCAGCCCTGGCTCCCCAAGTCAACACTTGCTATGTATTGCCAGAAAATCCCCAATATCCAATTCCCAAGCAGCTCAGGCTGCCCAGCTTTGCACTTTATTTTTCAAAGACAGCCCTAGTTTTTCCCTCTCCACCAGCCCAATCCCACTACGGAACCACCCCTGCCTGCCAGGTGCCCACTGTGCTTTGTTACCCGTAACGCTCCATGGTGATTCCAGGCTGGATGCCTGGGACACTGGCAGCGGCTCCCACCCCGCTCCGGGTCACACTGGCTGTGTCGCGCCCTTGCTTATTTGCTCTGTGTGTGTCCAGCCGCAGCCAAATGCCCATTCCAGGCATTGCAGCGCCAGGCTCAGAAGGCCTCGGTTTCCATTCAGGAAATAAACCTACTGGGGAGGAATCCCCCCCATAAGAAAATGAGCGCAGTGAGGGGGTGCCAGACGCTGAGCCTGTCCATGGGGCTGTGTCCGGTATCCTTCCCACCACCACCTCTCAAACAGTGGTTAAAAATTACCCTCCATGAGGTTGCGGTTCCCTGCTCCAGCTGGGAATGGAGACCCGGGTGGTGAGTGGGCCAGAAAGGGTATAGATCACTGCAAATCACACAGCGCAGGTGCAGCGCACCTTGCGCGTGCAGGCGGAGTGCGGGCAGCCTGAGCACGTGGGTGCAGGCAGCGCATGCAGGCAGCAGGGAGGACAGCGTGCGCTAGCTGCCTTGCTGGAGGGGGACTGCGGTTATTTAGGCACTGGGATCTCTCAGTCCCTGTTCCACCATTTGTCTGGCTACTGCCAGTTCTCCAGATGCCTGTTGGGAAGCAGAGACCCCCTTGTCCTGTGTAGAGGCCCCCCACCAGGCTGCATTGCAAGCACAACCTTATTATTTGCTGTGAGAGACTCCCCCTGGGGGATGCTGCGAGCAGCCAGCATGGGCGGGTTTTCCACTCAGCGCAGGGGGTGCCTCGGCTGGAGTTGATGTGGGGTTTGGTGCCCGCAGCATCGCTGCCTACGCCGAGGCCATGCAGGTGCCCAACGTGCTGCCCCCCATCCTGCTGGACGTCTCGCAGGGCTGGGAGACCTGGGGGGGCACCCAACCCGCCAGCCTCGACCTCCTGGTCAGCATCAACATGATGCACATCGCGGAGCTGGCCTGCACTGAGGTGAGCAGTGGGGCAGGGCTGCACCCTGACATGTCCCTGGCTCTGGGGGTCCCATGGGGTGTCCCCAGGCACCTGACCCCTGGTTCCCACCTCTCTCTTCACCAGGGCCTGTTCAAAGGTGCTGGGGTGCTGCTGAAGACCGGAGGTGTGCTCTTCACCTACGGGGTGGGTGCTGCTCAGCTGAGCATCCCAGTGCAGGAGCATCCTGCTGGGTGTGGGGTGGCAATGAGTGTGCTGGGGAGGGTGGATAGGAGGGCAGCTGCAGGTATGGTGACTAATGGGGGATGTTGGGTTTGGGGAGCCTCAGCTTTTTGGGGCACATACTGCTCCCAGGATGGGAGGGATCCTGTCCTCCCTCACCCCAACAAAAGCAGGGGCGGGGGTGCCCATGGTTTGTGAAGAGACGCAGTGTGAGTGATGGGGCGCATGGTCCCTCTTGGGTGTTGTCTCCTCCCTTGGCATGGTGGCGTCAGCAGCCCAGGGGCTGGGAGTTGCTCAGGGGGGACACGGTGCCTGCAGCTCCAGCTTTGTGTCCTGGCAGCCCTACGCCGTGGATGGCCGGATCAGCCCCCAGAGCAACGTGGACTTTGACCGCAGCCTGCGGCAGAGGTAGGGGAGGGTGCTGGGCAGGGGCCAGGGCTGCTGGTGGCTCATCCTGCCTGTGCTGCCCATGTTGCCCATGCTGTCTGTCCTGCCCATCCTGCCCATGCTGCCAGCAGCCATAGGAGCTCATTCCCTGCATGGTCCTTCAAGACAACACCTAAAGAAGTGGCTGGGAGGAGCCCTCTCCACCTGAGTGCACTGCTGGGAGATGGGGCAGCTCCCAGGGTGTGATATGTCCATCTGTCTGACCCACACCTCCCTCCCCATCAGCAACCCCGCCTGGGGTCTTCGGGACACAGCACTGCTGCGGCACTTGGCCGAGGCCAACAGGCTACACCTTGAGAGGATGGTAAGAGCTGGGGTGTGCAGGGTGGGGGGGTCCCTATGCCAGTGGGGACCCCCTGACCCCGGCTCCATGCTTCCAGGTGGATATGCCGGCCAACAACAAGAGTCTCATCTTCCGCAAGCTGTAACCTGCCTGTGACACCTCCCGGCACAGACACCCCCCATTGATACTCCTCGAAGGGGTTGCATCGCGACAATGGGCTCAGCTGAGGGGGCTCCCTTTGCAATGGGGTGCCCCAGAGAAGCTACCGTGGCTGCCATGGGGGGCAGAGGCACTGGGGGGGGAGCAGCACCTTGGCCATGGGGTAGAACTTGCTCGGTGGTGGGGTGACCCATCCCTCTTCCCTCCCCAGGATTGTGATGCTGCTCCCCACAATAAACACCAAGGCTTCACCCCCCCTCCCCACCAATGCTTGCAGCACTGGCACTGGGGGAATCCCCAGTCCCCCTCAAGCACCAACCGATGGAAGGGACCACGTCCTGCATGGGGAGCACCCTGGGGTGCTGCACTGCCCCTAGAGGCTTTGGTGCAGTGGGAAGGTTTTTATGAGGGGGGTCCCTGGCAGATCTCCCACCCCTCTGCAGCCCAGCCCACTCCTTTATTGCTGCTGGCTGGGCTGGAGGGTACGTGGGGGGCATGTGGCAGATAAATAACAGGGGAGGTGGGAGCTGGGGCTCAGCATGGGGTTGTGGGGAGCTATGTGGTGGTGGTAACCCCAGGATACAAGCACTGGTTTGGGGCTCTCCCTCCACAGTGAGTCTGCAGCCCCCATATCAGCATGTCCCGGCTCTGCCCTAGTCCTGGAAGCGGTTGAGGAGGTCACAGGTTTTCTTCTCCATCAGCTCGTAGATCTTCTTCACCCGCTTGTCGTTGGCCGCCCGCACGTAGCTGCTGGGGTCCAGCGTGGCCATGCCGTCGTGCACCTCACCCATGATGATGAGCGGCCCGTCCTCCGCCGTCATGTTGGGGCAGGGGCAGCTCCAGTCCATGTCGGTCAAGGTCACCTCCAGGTACTTGATGTTGAAGAACTTGAGGCCCATCTTCTCATCCTTGAGGACATCCTCGAGGGCGAAGCGCGCGATACCGGAGTCCTGGTCCTCCACGACCTCCATCAGGCGTCCCACGATGGCGAAGTCGCTGCGGCAGAGGCTCAGCACCATCTTGCTCTTCAGGCGGCAGGCCTTGCACTGCAGGCTCTTGGGGAAGGGGCAGGTGTCCTCGCAGCTCTCCTTGCTCTCGAAGTTGTTGGTGTTGCCCTCGCAGCCGCCGTACACAAAGGAGTGGCACTGCTTCAGCAGGGGGTTGTACGCCCAGCGTGGCTCCCAGTGCTGGCAGGGGCCCTGCACCACGGGCAGCAGGCAGGTGGGGCGGGCACTGCCCAGGCAGGCGGCCCGGCACTCCTCATACGTCTCGAAATGGTTCCTGTTTGCCCCGCAGCCTCCGTAGCGGAAGGTGAGGCAGGAGCCCTGCTTGGCGTCGAAGTGCCAGCGCACCTCCAGCGCCTCGCAGCGCCGCCGGTCTGGCTCCTTCAGGCACTCGGCGCTGGGGAAGGGCTGGGGGCTGCTGGCCGGTGCCATGGCCCCCGGCTCCCGCCTCAGCACCGACAGTGGGAAGTCGGCGCGGAGCAGCCCAGCAGTGTTGCGGGCCGTACACGTGTAGATGCCGGCGTCCTCGTGGCGGGCGTTGTAGATGACGAGCTGGCCGATGTTGGTGACCACCACGTTGCCGTACATCTGGTCCGGCCGCATGATGAAGTTCTCCTCCCTCTCGCTCTGCTTCTCCCAGGTGATGTCAGGGCGCGGGCGCCCGCTCACGTCACAGCGGAAGCTGACAGTGCCTCCGGCGCGCACCGACTGGTGGAAGGGGTTGCTGTAGAGAGCAGGGGGCACTGGCACCTCAGGGCCGGTGCCTGGCGTGGGGTTAGCTGTCGTCTCCTGCGGCACAGGGCTGGTGTCGGGCCAGGTGAAGATGTGCTTGCAGGGCACGGTGGTGAGGCGGGTGCCGCGCAGGCACGCCTCGGCATCCATGTAGCACTTGTTGTAGTAGGTGAGGCCGTCGGAGGCGCAGGTGAAGTTGGGCTCCTTCTCGCAGCGGTCCTTGCACTTGCACACAGGCTGCCCGTCCCAGATGTCGCAGTCGGAGCCCTGCTGCGCGCACACAAAGCTCTCACATGAGGCTGCAGGTGCCGGCGCGGGTGCGCTGCCATCGGCAAAGCGGGCAGCCACGCAGCTCCGCAGCCCGCACACGTTGGTGCAGCACTTCTCAAACTCTTTGCAGTCCTGGCCAGGGACAGGGGGGAAAGAGGTGATGGGGGGATGATGTGCAGGTCACCACCTTGCCATGGGAGCTGCTGCCACCCCCTGTGGGGCTTTTGGGTGGGTAGTGACCCCACGAAGCCCTGTGCACCCTCAGTACTGCCAGCCCTCACCAGCATGGCTACACTGGCCATGGCCTACCCTCCCCCTCCCCCCCCCAGACTCACCAAGGGTGCTGAGGAGTGCACTGCAATGATATTGGTCCTCCCTGCCTCCCCTCCCCCCCCCCCCCAGCACACAGCATCTCACCCCTCTCTTTTGCTAGCTGAGGGGAGGCAGAACTCATTACACAGATGAATTGAAAATGGGTCTCCCACTGTGTAGGAGCACTAAGTAAGGTGGAGGTGCTGATGTCCCTGCTCAGCCTTATGGAGCCTGGAGCTCTCCAGGATGGACAGCCCCATCCATGGGTGGGCTCCTGACCACAGGGATGAAAGTGGGGGGTGCAGGGCTGTCCACTGTCTGATGGGGGTCCCTGTCCCAGCACAATATGGTTCCCCCATCCCAGCCCTTTGGCTGGGTGGGACCATCCTGGGGGTGCATGGTGGGGGTGCTTTGGCTACAGGAGACATGGGGGGGGGGGGGGGGGCACGAGCAGCTTCTTTGCCTGCTGAGGAGGCAGGGGAGCAGCTCCGCAGCACCCCGATGCCAACTCACAGCAGGGGGTTGGAGGGGGGATAAAACTGATGCTGGGCTGAGCCTGTTGCACAGGAACAAGCCCCATGCACAGGACCCGCACCCAAAGTGTGTCCCTGGGGTCCCCCACATCCCCCCACGCCTGCTCACCTGGTCCTCCCGGCACTCACGCTCGCATGTGCTCTGCGCGTCCACCCACAGGTTGGGGTTGAGCTGGTTGGGGCAGACCCCTGGGTGCTGCATCCTGGCTGGCTGCAGACTCAGCCCTGCCACCAGCACGGGCAGGAGCAGCACGATGCCCACTGGGACCAGATTCCCACTTGGAAGCATCTTGGCCACCACACGCCGCCGGCCTGGCTCGCTGGTGAGAAATCACGGTCAGGATGGAGGGGATGAGGGGGAAGGAGGGGGGACAAAGAGAAAGAGGAGGAGGAGAGGACCAAACCTCTGCTCTTCAGGGCCTGCTGGACCACCAGCGATGCTGCCGGCCACCTCCATCCATTGCTGCAGCTCAGCTTGCGGGTGCCAGGGACACGGTGGCAGCGGTGTTCCTGGTCCTTCTTCCCTCAGTGAGAGGGTATCAGTCCATCCTGGCTCCCCGGCGGCTCAGCGGGGCGAGTGGGGTGGAAGGGGAGGACGGGAAGGTTGTAATCTGAATCCCCTCCCTTCCCAGTGATGTTTCTGGGTGTTTGGAATGGGAAAGGCGCTGACCTCAGCCTCTAACCCCGGCGAGCCCAGTGATCGGCTGGGCAAACACGGCAGGGGGAGATCAAAGGCAGAATGCAGAAAGTCTCCAAAGAGGGAGAGTGGAAGGAGGGGGGACACACACACAAAACCCACCCAGCCCATGGAGCTGAATTCCTGCAGGATGAGAGAGCAGCCAGAGCCTCTGGTCCACTCATCCAGGGCTGCCAGCAGGGAGACCTGCAGAGCCCACACTGACCGGGGAGCCCCTCACCCCGCTCCTGGCCTCTTGGCACTGTGGGTGGATGCAGCCTTGAGCCCGGGAGTGGGAGCTGGGGCTGGCACTGGCACGTGTCTGCCCTGCTCATCCATGATCACCATGTGGCACCCCTCAAGCGCTGGGCACAGCATCCAGCTCTCCTGGCAGCACGGTGGGTGTCCAACAGCACCCAGTGCTCCCTCCACACCGGTTGAGGGCCAGGCTGTCTCTCCAGAGCTGGAAGCCAGCGCCATGGGATGGCTCCTCACGCTGCATCCCAGCTGCAATCGCCTCGTGGAGCACGTTCTGCCGCCAGCCCTGAGCTGGCCCTGACTCCCCAGTCAGATTCCCGTGATCCCTGGTGGGACTGACTTGCAGCAGGAACACTTCACAGTGCTCTGGGAGCATTAACTCTTCCCTCAGCTGCTGCGAAGCAGCAAACCCACCCGAGGGAGTTTTGCCCTGGGGTCTCCAGCCCCCGCTCCGCAGCACTGCAAACTTGGGGGCAGGTGGTGTAAGGGACAAAGGGAGAAGCCGAACTCAAACCCACCTGCACCCCAGTGGTCCTTGTGCATGCAGTGTTCAGTGCCAACCCAGTCCTTGGGGAAGTTCCTGGGGGAAGCCCTGTTGCACCGGAGCAGGCATTCTGGGGGGCTCTCAGGACCCACCATGATGCTCTGTGCTTGGGCTCCCCAGGGACCTCAGATCTTGGAACATGGCAGCAGCTTGCCATGACCACGCACAGAGAGCTGGAGTATGTCCCATGGTCCATGGTTTCAAGGCCAAGCAGCCACCCAAGGGTCTGGCTGGCCCTGGGTGCAGAGCGGAGGTTACACTGCCCCAGGGTGCTCATGGGGGAGCTGCTGAGATGTTTTGCAAACAGGGAATTGCATCCGGTCAGCCTGACCCTGCCTGCTCCATCCAGCCAATCGCAGACACCGGGTGCCTCCAGCAGCACATGGAGACTTGCAGCCCACAGACCCACTCACTCTGCCAGGGTGCAGGCTGCCACAGCACCTCACTCCCCAGAGATGCACCTGAGCACTGGGGTGCCCAAGGGTGCTGGAGCAGGAGGGAAGGGGGAAAGTAAAACCTGGAGCCCAGCTTTCACCCACCCCTATCTGGGGTCCCTGTGGTTACAACATGGTCTAAGATGCTGGTGCTGCGGTTTGGGTCAGTTCCTGCCACAGAGGTCCCTCTCTGGAACTGTGGGAGCAGCTCCTGAGGTGTGGCCCATGTCCCACACCAGAGTCCAAGACACCTCGTCTCTGTGTCACTGAGATCAGAAGCAGCCAGAGGGATGCTGCATGGTTGGAAATGCAGCTCCCAATGACTCAAGACCCTCACCCACGCCTGGGGACCCAGCAGAAGATGAAAGAAAACCTCATCTCTGGCAGTGTTCAAGGCCAGGTTGGACAGGGCTTGGAGCAACCTGGTCTAGTGGAAGGTGTCCCTGCCCATGGCAGGGGGGTGGAACTGCATGAGCTTTATTTAACCTCCCTTGCAACCCAAACCAGGCTGGGATTCTGTGACTCAAAAGTGACTCTCACCACTCTGGCCAAGCCCAGGACACTTTCACCATCTGAAGGAGCTAAAACTTCAGCCTCTCCCAAACTTCATCTCTGCACCCAAGCTCCCACTGCAGCCCAAACAGGGAACTCCTGGAGTCACTTCCAAAGATCCCAGACACAAATGCAAGGTTTACATCTCATCTCCTCCCTCCAAGCAAGGGGAGGACAGGAACCGGCTCAACATCCTGTCTTGAAGGAAAGGGCACCCTGCCACAGCCCTCCCTGGGCCTTAAAGGGCTCCTGCCCCACCAGTGCGCCCATGGGCAAGTGCAACTACATTGTCAAGCATCCCAGGTGCCATCAGATGCAGGTCACCGTTCCTTGTGATGGGACCCATGGTTGACCCTGCATGGCACAACCCTTGCAGGGGACAGTGGGACCAACCTGATACCTTCAAATGGGGAAGGTGAGTTGGGAGGAGCACACTCAACAAGGAAAGACCTGAAGCAGCCCAGAGCAACCTGCTCCTTCCCTAAGATCAGGGACCCCCATAAGCTCTCCCAGCCTCTGCACCCAGGTTCAGGCTGTGGACGGTGGTCTCTCCCTGCTCTTCCTAAGCAGAGGCAGGCACCTCTGGCATAACTGGCCCCAGCTGTCCTTACCCACCTGAAACCACACACAACCTTTGAGTCTGCTGGCAAGAGGGAACAGACATTTCCAGAACACCCCTGAAAAGGGGAAAAAAACGGCTCTTCCCTGACCAGGCTTTCACCTTAGCTCCAGGGTTTTCCAGCCTGCAGACACTATCTCATCTGCCCCCTACCCCCTCCCAGCCCCGGCAATTACCGCTTAAGCTGTTAAAACAGGCGTGGCCGGTCTGGTACGAAGTGGAAAATCTGATCCCAGGGAAGTGAGCAGGCAGGGAAAAGGGAGGTCAAGCGGAGGTGGGCTGCGAGCACAGAGACAAGGATCAGGGGAGGAGAAGTTTCCCTGCACCCAGGAGCAAAGCCCCTGTGCTGGGGCTCCCAGACACGGGCGCTCTGAGCTCCTCATGGCACCTTCTCCATTTCAAAGCCCCGCTGATCCCACACTGGCTGCCAGCTTGGGCTCTGTGGGTGAAACCCACCACTCCCCAGCACCACCCTGGCTCAAAGAGGCTTGCTAAGGCTTCAGTTGTACTTGCAAAACCTGTCCCTGTGTACCCGGGCCTGAGCACAGCCCCACACAAGCTGCAGCCACCTACATGACTAAACGTGTTGCCAACTTGTCTGCGCTGCCTTAGAGCTCCACAATTCAAGCCTCAGCCATGCTCTGAAAAAGGCAGATAGAGTAAGAACAGATTCAGCTTCTGCTCGATCAGAGAAGGGTAAAACCCCACCAGGCCCAGTAATCACAACTTTTAGGAGGCCCCAGAAACTGCAGCCCAACTTGTTTCATGGATGACCTGGAAGTGGCAACACACAGTTGCATTGCAGCAGCCCCAAATCCCCACCTTTGGGCACAACTCCCACCTTTTCCTTTCAACCTCATCCCAGCCCGCCCCAAAACTGATCCAACTTCTCCACCACTGGTAGTTCAAAACAACAACAACAAAAAAAGACTTTAATTTATACAAAACAAATGCATGTAGAATCAGTTGAACAACATTGACTGTACAAAGGAATAAAAAAAATAAAAGGATAGTCCAAACCCCCCCCCCAAAAAAACCCAACTCAGGAATGGTACAAGTGTTGGAGAGCAGCTACAGACTAGTGTTGACATAAGATGCAACAATTTTTCCTCTTAAATTAACAACAACAGCAACAAAAAAAGAGTTTTTCTGCTGAGCAATTGCTCCAGGTGAATCTTCCCTCCTCACTACAGCCAGGGTCCTTTGAGACTGTATGGGGTGAGAAAACAAGAAATCAACCACAAGGAAAGGGGTGTGGGGAGGTGCTACACGTGGCAAAGCCAAACCGAGCAGCAGTGCATCTCGTTTCCAGCCATGCAGCAGCTCTGCAGGTGCAGGAGGAAGCCTTCATCCCACTTCACACCCCTTGCCAGGGGGAAGCCCAGGGTGCTGTTTTCCAGAAGTCACCCTGCTCCTGTGGTGCCCATCACCTGTTGGCCGTATATCCCCAGGCTGCTGAGCCAGCGATTGTCTTCTGCTGTGTGTCAAGTGGTGGGAAGCAGGTGCCGGCCACTCCAGAGAGGTTCTCCAAATCCCCCAGCCTTTGTGCCACCGCGCTGGGCCCGGCTGCGGCTTTGCTCTGGAGCCAAACCACCACTACAAAGGATTCTTCTCCCCCCTCCATCTGCCTGGGGTTTAATTCTCTCCTCACTCATTTCAGCTGGGCAATAAAACACACTAGAGAAAGCCAAGAGGCATGACCCCTCTATTGTATCTTGTTCTACAGAGCAGGGAGGGGGAAGGCTCCTTCACCTCCAGCTTGCTCAGGGAAGGAGACTGTTCTCCATGGAGGGATGTGCCCCTGGCTGCTGCCTGAAGAGAGCGGGTCCGTCGGCCGTGCAGGAGCTGCCACGGCTTCATTCTGCCCGTGCAATGCAACAAGCTGCTCTGGGGGTGGAGAAGAGCCAGGCCAGGCCTTGAGGAGCTGCTAACACCAGGAGGCAGATGACAAAACTGCACTAGCCAGGCTCCTTGCTGAGGAGCAAAAGGAAAAGCAGTTCACTTGCTACCACGCTACTCACAATCTACACGTCTTGGCTGCCTACAAGGATCTGTTGAGGATCGCTTAGTCCCACTGCCAAGCTTTTGCAGTAAAGGCTAGGTGTTGTTTGCAAGGCTCCAGGTGAGTTTCCAGGCCAGGTCAACCATGGGATGAAGCCAGGGATGCACACTGCACTTGCTTGACAGAAGATCTCCCACAGCACGTGCACACCACAAGCCACAGAGCACAATCCAGAACAAAGCAGTTTGCTTTCCCAGTTCCCTGGGGCTACCAAGTAACTCTGCCATGATGGGACCTGGGGGTTCACTGGTCTCCACCACACAAACCTTTCACCTTCTCAGTCCCTGCTCCTTCATGCTCCAGTGGGAAAAGCTGCTTCTGTCCTTTCCCCACTTTCATCTAGGAGGAGCCACAGCAATGCTACCAAAGGCAGAGCATGTCTTTGGAAAAGCAAAGGAAGAAGCAGCCAGGATTGAGGGGCTGGTGCACAGGGGTGTTGCAGATAGAGGGCTTTGGAAGTGGTGGCCAAGGTTTTGCTGCAATAAGGGACAAAATTCAGTGGTTTTCCTCTGCTTTGGGCACGACACTTCCAGCCTCTGCTCCTCAGTCCCCATCATCCATGTGTCAGAAGGTGCAAAGCGAGCACAGCATCAGTCTGACCTCAGAGCTGCTGAAAACAAGCTGAGACCATGGTCCTTTCGCTCTGTCCCTTGAGCCATTCACATCCCACCCTGCCTTCGGAAACTTTAGGGACTGATGCGAATAAAGCAGCTTGGGGCAGATTATACACAAATTGTTCTTTCCTTCTGCATACATAGTATTTAAGCCCCCTCCGCCGCGCCCCCCCCCCCAGCACAAGCCCAGGTGGTGATTTAAAGTCTCTTAAAGCATTTGGGTGTTTTTGTTTGGAAATCCTCCACTTTTCCCCTTTTTCTGACACTGGGAAAGTTAATCCAGTGCTCGTATGTACATGGCTGCATAAAATTCTCCCTGACTGCTTCTTAAAAAAAAGCTTAAAAAACAAGTGATATATATATATATATATATATAATATTTACATAAATAAATGAAGGAGGCAAGTGGACTGCTCCCTCCCCTTCTC